TGCAACTGGTGCAGTCTCTCTCGCACTCACCGGCCGGGCCGTGCGGGTGCGAGAGAGACAGGCGCTCGGCCTGCTTGGCGCCTCTCTATCGCGCGGCTAATGGAGCAGCTTTAATCGGTACAGAAACCATCCGTGGGAGCCGGCAGTGGGGCGCGTTCAGCAGGCTGGCTCCGGGAGTCGTTTTCGACGCTGTCTCTTTCTCACTCACGGAGCGTCCCCTACCAGTGCGAGAGAGACAGAGAGACGAAAACGACTCTCAGAGTCAGTCTGCTGGATAGCTAGTAGTTGAATTAAGGCAACATGCCCAGTCGGAGCTGGTCATAAATCCCGAGGGATGAACCGGGTAGTCGCGGACACGTCCCCCAGGACTCCGTATTGGGAAACGGGGGCTGGGCTGTCGTCACCGCGTTAACTAGCGCATAAAACAACGGTCAGTAAGGGGGAAATGGCGGCGCTCTGGAGGACGGACGACATCAAAGTGACCGCTCGCGCAGGTAACGTCCTATTTTAGACGTGTCTCCGACACTCTGACACCCATGGCCTCATTTAACCTCCCCTTGTGTGCGGTATACCTATATGAGGTGTGGCTCTCTTCCTACTCTACAATGCGTGCGACGCTGACAGGAACCGAACGTGTCCGCGTGTGACCCCACCAATGGATTGATCCCCGAGCGAGGAATCCATTGGTGGGGTCACACGAACGGTTCCAGTCCCATTTAGCGACTCTAGAGCTCGAAACGCGTCCGGAATTTGTCCGCCTCCACCGGTCTTCTGGCCCACTGTGGTCCGCTGCCGAGTGGCTTTACTTCATTTCGCAATGGACAGGCATGCGCAGGCCAGTGTCGCGGACGGTGGCGGCGCGGCCGCCTGCTCCGTTTATGACAGGCCTTTCACTCCGCATTGAAAACGGCGCCGCGTCGCACAGAAGGACCCTCCCCCGCGCGTCCTTGGGGATTACCCTGGTACGCGTTAATCAATGCCGCTCATTCATCACACCTTTCAATCCCCCCCCCCCCCACACACACACACATCACAGGGAAAGCTTTACAGCCTCGCGAAGGCCTCTTTGATGGCCTAATGAAACCGCGCACTAGCCTTCGATGTGAGCCGCCGACATGACATGGAGGATGCCCGCCTCCGGACCGGAAAAAAAATATATGGTAAAAAATTCACGACATTTATCTGGGCCGCTGGGCCCGCTGGGTTGGTCTGGTCGACCATTCCGAACACTGATCTTGTCGCTCTGTCCTTCTTGCGCTCATGGGTAATCCCGTGAAGGTGCGAGAGGGGCGGAGCCAGCCATAGCGGGCCTCAATGCATCGTCGCTTCCAGGGCTCCATGCACCACATGGCTGTGGCAGCCGTGACGTGACCTGCCCGTGTGTGTTGTGTCTGTGTGTCTGTGTGTGTGCCTTATGCCTTTCTCGCTGATGAACGGAATACGCTCGTCTCGGCTGCATCGCCCAGGTGAGGCTACACTACAAAGAGCCTTAGCGCGGAATGCCGTTTTAGGAGATTGGCGGAAACGTCGATACGGCTGGCGCGGCTGGCGCGAGATCAAACAACGAGAAGGCGGTGCCTCGCTGCCGCTGCTCGGCATGGGCGGCGCACGCGGCCACGATTCACGCTGAAAAACGGTCAGGGAAAAGGGCCAGAAGTGCCAGAAGATGCCATGGCTTTCTGCGAAGGGAGGGGGAGGGGAAGGGTTCAGGTGGCGGGGCCGCTTTTACCCGACATCAGGTGCTTCGGCCATTGCAATGCCGCCCGTCGTGGCCCACGGCCGTGGCGCCGTGGCCCGGGAGGCCGACTGCGTCTCGCTCTGTCTCTCTCGCACCCCTCCGGGCCGCCCCGCGCGTGCGCCACGCGTGCGACGGAGACGGTGCGGGGCAGCGACGGTTCGGAGTCGGCCTGCAGGGACGTGAGGAGGAACCCTAGCACCACAAATTGGGCCGCAGGGCTGTGCAACACAACGGCCAGGCAGCAGCGGCAGCAGCGGCAGCCACCCGCGGCGCTGGCTTCAAGTTTTACGCGAAGGTGTGAAGCCGAACTCTAATGGGCGAAGCGGGGGCGGCCGGTACGTGAGCAAGGTCCCCCCCTTTTTTTCCTCCTCTCTCTCCCCTCCGAACCGGAAGCAGCAAACGCCGTTTTTGCGGCGTTTCCCGCCGCTTTCAAGGCGCCGTTCAACGGATGGCATGGTATTGTCCTGGCCGGCCGGCGTGGCCAGCATGCAGATTAACGGTCATTACGGCGTTCCCACGGCGATACCCGCCACGGCGATACCCGCCACCGCGCTCCCCGGCGACGGGGCCTCTCCGGTGCCAACCCTGACCCCGCCACGCCGCGCCACGCCGCGCCCGCCGCCGACAAGCGAACCCTATACACCCTAGGGCAGGGTCATCCAGAGGCAAAGTTCAGCGGCGGCGTGAGTTGGGCTCTGCTCCTGTCAGGCGGGCTTGCCGCCAGGCAGCCAGGCCTGCAGTCGGGACGGGAGTCGCTCCGGCATCCGCGAGCGCGCCTGACAGGGCCGTGGCGCCGCGGCGGGTACAGGCGGCTAGGCGGCTACCGGTGTTGGTACGCCCGTCGCTCCGCAGCGCGCCGCACTGCGCACTCGAAGCGTATGAAAAAAATATCGATCCGTTCTGTCTTTGTTCTGTTTCTGTATTCGTGCTTTTCGCCTGAAACTGATGATCTGGCGATTTCCAGGAGGCTGCGAGACATCAGCGGTGATGGCAGTTCGAGGGAAGTCGGGGTGGTGCCGGAGCCCATGAGGATGTCCACGTCGTACGCTCGCACACGCCCCGACAGACGCCGAAGCGGGCCTGTCCGGCAGTGGCAGGCTTCTCTCTCGCACTCACGCGCCGTCCCGTGTGGGTGCGAGAGAGACGGCCGACGTACATCAGGCCTCGACCAAGCGCGCCAAGGGCCGGCACTTTGATCGGGCCCGGCGAGGCGGCACACCTCTCGGCCCGGAGCACGGCCTCGGCTTTGGCCTCCAGCGGGCAGCCCTGGGGCAGCCAAGCGCGTGATGGCATTAGCAGGGGATGCACTGCAGCGCTGCAGCGTCCAGAGTGCACTACTAATGCACCGCCCGGCCGCGTCCCAAAGTGGAGAGAGAGAGACAAAACTACCAACAGAATTTGCAGGGTGGCTTTTATTTTTATCTCAATCACACAACACAAGTGCGGCAGGCCGGGGGCTGCAGTACCGCTGGTTAAAAGCTACGAATCGCGAAGCAAACAGCGTAATGATTCGCTTCACTGCCGGCAGCTCAGTGCGAACAAACAGAGATGGCGTTCGGTATGTGTGTGTGTGTTGGCGCGCGCTTGTTGTGATTGAAAGGTCATGGCGTCGGTCTCTCCTCCCCCCTTCTCTCTCTCTCTCTCTCTCTCTCTCTCTCTCTCTCTCTCTCTCTCTCTCAGGCCGCCGCACGCACGGCTGCACACGCGCTCACGCAGGTCACACGCGCGCGAGCCGTACTCGTGATTCGCCTGAGCTCCGCCTCTATTTGCATAGGCTACTGGGATAGCGAGCCGCGTGCGAATTCCTGCTGCATCCCGTGCACTGTGGGTCCCAGGCAGCCAGCCTACTGATTCTGAGCGTCGCTCTTTCTCTCTTGCACTCATTGGGCGTTCCGTGTGGGTGCGAGAGAGACAGCGACGGAATCAGTCTGCTGTGGGACGCAGCCTGTGGGCCCTACACCGTCCACCTGCTTTCTTTACTTGCTGGCCTCGCCAAGGCGCTGTGGCCGCCGCAGCCCCATGTTTGGCGTGGCCGTGGCGTGGCCGTGGCGTGGCGGCCCCAAGGCAAACACTCTATGCATCCAAAATTCAGGAGGTGCATTAGCAGAGGAGTAAGTGTCTGTTTTACCTGCCTGGTCACCGGGGCGGCTTCAGGGCGCGCCACGCCACGACTGCACAGCCTGGGGATGGGCTCGCTTGCCCCCAGAGACAGTTTTCCACGGCCGCGGGCACGGAGTTCAAATTTGGACTTGGTTGAGGCAAGTTCACAGTTCACCTACATTCACCTTGTGTTCCTGCCCGGACGAATTCCTTGGCGAGCTCATAGCACGTCTCATTGCCTGATCGGGCAAGACCAGCCAGCCGCAACGTTGGTCTGGAAAACAAGACGGCTGCTGCTCGCGGCCCGGCTTAGCCTCGGAGTGCGAGGGCGACAGCACGGCAGCCCAACTTTTTAACGAACGACAGCCGCACGTCCCCGTAGTCCAAGTGCCGGATTTGCGGTGCCCCCTCTTCATTTGGCGTGGCGGCGTGGCGAGACGAACCACCACGTGTGGCGTACACCGGCAGGCCAACAAGCAGCTTTTCCCTTTTCCTCGTCCTTTTCCTCTGTCTCTCCTTATTAAAAATTCGAAAGCAAATCCCTGCCCTCAATCCAGCGTGGTGGCTTTTGTCCCGTCCGCACACGGCCACGGTCGGCCACGGCACTGCATGGCACGCGAGCTTTAACGACCACCACACCAGAAGCGAGACGACCAGTCCATCTTTCCTCCTGGGAGGCTGGAAGCGGTCAAGTGGCGCACCAGACCGAGAGTCGTCGTTTTCGTCGCGCGCTCCCTCTCGCACCTGTGCGGCACGCCCCGCGAGTGCGAGAGAGACCGCGCGACGGTCCCCTTGCACTGGCAGCGTGCTGGCAGCGTGCTCAGGGCGCTAATGAGGCCCCTTCCAGCGCTCCAGCCAGCGGCTCCATGGAGGCTCCATGGAGGCTCCAGCACGCCGATCATGAAAGCGAGAACGCGGCGAGGAGAGCCTCGTCCAGGTCACCGGGCGCGCCCCGCCCCTGTCGTGTTCGTCATGTCGTCCCGCGGATTGAGACGTCACGGGCGCCGTGCCGGCCGTGCCCCTGGTCGTTTGTCTAGCGGCGCTGTTTGCCTCCGCAACAATAACAACAACAACAACAACAACAAAAGCATCGCCGTTGAACCGAGTTTTTGTTTGTCTCAGGAGCCGATCGACCAGCCCAGGCCCGGCGCCGCAGTCCACCATGGCGGCCGCCGTGCTTCCCGCCGTGCTCCTTCTCTGCCTGCTGCACGGTAAGTGCTCGCCTTTCCGCGTGGAGACGATTAGCGGGTCGTGATGGCCGTGGGTCAGGCGGCACACCTAGCAAAGCTAGCATTGCCGGCAAGGCCACTCCGACTGGCAGGGTCAGGAGTAATCGAGTCGTCGGACTTCGGGTGGCTAAACAACCCCTCGAACCGCGTCAAGAGTGACTTCTGCTCGGAGCGGCGTCGCTCCTACGATGCTCGACCATCGCACCGGGCGGGCAAGCCCACGGGAGAGGCCCGGAATTTACAGGAGGCGGGCACCGCTTTTTGCACCCACCACCCCAACCCCCGGCCACCCACTGTCCGTTCCCACAACAACATGAATATCGCGGCACTGTGTCACAGGGTCTTCTTGCCCCGCGCTGCCCCGACTCGGATTTTATCTCGGGAAATAACTACCCGCCCGGAGGGATGGGGAGGACAGAAAGAGCGGGACAGCCAGGAGGGAACTTGCCGTGGATGATAAGCTGTATTACCGGAGACCACCTCCCCCTGTTCCTTCCCCGGGCAGGACACTCCAAAATGTCAACCTGGACAATAACGACCATTGGATGGAAATGTGCCGTACTTACCTGCACGCCGCCTGCCCGCCTGCTCGACCGCCGCCCCAGGCGCGTCGAATAATTGCTCCGTCCTCACCGTGTTGCGACACGCATGCAAACGCGGCTCGGCAAATCACGTCCTACAGTGCGTCGCGCCGCACTCCAGCGGCTTCGCTGGTCTTTGCCGGCCGGCGCCATAAGGATGCATAAAAGGATGCGCGCTGAATGGCGCAGCCTCATTCCCAAGAGTCGTCTCTCTGTCTCTCTCGCACGCCTGCGGGACGCGCCAAGAGTGCGAGGGAGACAGAGCGACGAAGCCACCATTCGGAATGTGAGGCGGCAGTCCGAGCTTTCTTCGCGCTGGTCGCGCGTTACGGTGGAGCGGCCCGCGCTCCGCGAAGGCGACATTCACGTGTTGCTCCCCGAGTCTTTTTGAACCAAGGTACTACACTTGCATCAAGAAATTTATGTTGTTTCAAGTAAATCCTTTCACCAAAAGTTCATTTTCATGGTTCAAGAAGAATTTTTTAGAGTGTAGGACGCTGTTGCACGGCGACGGCGAGGCCAGCGATCCGTCTTCGGGGCGTCCTCGTCCTCCCCTTCGGGCGGACAAGTTGAGCCAGCCGAAAATCGGCGTTCGAATTGTCCCGAACCCTGTTCGGCATTAAACATGCATTAAGCTGGCCGGCCTCCAAACGGACCGGCAGCACGCCGGCAGCACGCCGGCAGCCAGACGATGATTGTTCCGAGACGTTGGCGGGCGGGGCCCTTGGCGGGGCCCTTGGCGGGGCCACCCACAGGACCCTCATCCCTAAATAATAAAATAATAATATCACCGTACCGGTGTGCGCGGTGTGTGCGGTGTGCGCGGGAGGGGGAGACTGAGGCAGCCAAGAAACGGGGACGGTCCCAAGGGCCGTGCGAGTCGCGAGGTGTGTTGTGCGGTGTTCCGCACCACCACAGCCACCAACAACAACAAAAGACCACCAACAGCAGCAGCAGCAGCAACAACAGCAGCAGCTAGGTCATCCCTTTCACTGGACAGGGTGCCCTGATCCCTGGCCCGGCTGCCCCGGCTTCGAGATGTCTCCCGACGTGGGCTTTACTATCGGGGCTCCGGTCTAAATAACCAAGCCTCGCATAGTGTCCCCGCTGTCCGGCCGTCCGGCGGGTCGCGGTCGACGGTGCACTGCAAAAAGCGAACGGAAAGCACGACGACGACGACGTTTTCCTCGGAGCGTCGGAGCCCCTGCGAGGCAGGCATCCCGCGCACACCGGTGCGTGGAGCAGGCGGCGTGGCCTACCCGCCGGGCGCTCGCCGAGGAGGTGCTCAAAATCCCGCACGGGTTTTTGAGCTCCAGAGTCGCTAAATGGGACTCGAACCGAACGTGTGACCCCACCAATAGATTCCTCGTTTAGGGAGCAATCCATTGGTGGGGTCACACGTTCGGTTCGAGTCCCATCTCGTGACTCTGGAGCTCAAAACGCGTCTGGAGTTGACCGCCTGCGCCAACCGGCGGAGAATGCAGTGCCACTGTTAGTGTCGCAAGGTCGCTCGGCAGCCGGCATGGCACCTCGGCCACACTGTCGCCAACGCCGCGCGGCAAAAACAAAACCGCGTGCCTTTCCTCCGCGGCGCGCGTGGCGTGTCTCGGCTGCTCTTGTTTCTTTCATCGAGTTCCGGACTCCCGGGGCGGTGCGGCCGGCCTGGGCTGCCTGGCCTGGCCCGGGTAATACCAGTGGGAGCGGTAAGTGGAGTGGCACGAGCCCCCCCCCCCCCCCCCCCCCCCCCCCGGCCCTGCGGCCCTCCGGGGCTGGGCCCCGCGGCTCACGCCCGCAGCCACGAGAGCGTCTCCTGTATGGAGTGCCGGTGAGGTGCCGAGGGGGCGGCGGGGCGCGACAACCACTCCGGCCATCATCGCCGCGTCGAAACAAAAAGCAGAGAAAAAACGAAGCAAAAATGATGGATATGTGCACGCCATCGGTCGTGGGACTCGCGCCGTCAGCGGCGCCTAGGCTGTCGCACGCCGTCACGTAACGACAACGATCTCACACACATACACACACACAGATTAACTCACACACACACTCACACACACACAGAGACTCACACACACACACGCGCGCGCACACACACACACACACACGCATCGTAACGATATGCGTCACGTTCGGCAGTGCGGCCAATCGTGGGTCACGATGATGACCACCTTGTCCCGAAATGTGAGGCAAGGACCGCAGACAGGCGGACAGACAGACAGACAAGCGGGCGCTGCATGCGAGGTGGTGATCTCGGTGTGCTGCGCAGTGCTGCGTCCGGGGTCCCGGCAGGTCCGGGGCCCAACAAAGGCAGTGCTGTGCCGCTACATGGAGTGGGGTGGTCGGCAGGGCCGGCAGGGCGGAAAGAATTTCCCGAGGTGGCGTGGCGGCGTGGCGCCCTGCTCCTCGTCCTCGTTATCCTGCTGGCACTGCCTGGCAGTCCGTACGTGTTGCGCCACGCCACGGCACGCCACGCCAGGCAACACAATGACCCCTCCGTACCCCGTATGTGAACATTACGGCGGCGAATGCGAACGCCGCGAACGCCGCCATGACGACCCGCCCCGTGTTATTTGCTACCCGCCTTCGCTTCGCCCGGATTGCGCCGCACCGCCGCGCCTTCACTGTATTTTCCACCGTCGGTTTCCTCCTCGTTTTTTCTGGTGGAGTACACGCAACACGTTGCACGGAGGGCGGCGGGGCCGGGCGGGGCCTGCAGGGCCGCGCTAATCCTGTCGCGATACCACCCCGTGGATTATCACCGCGTATGAGGGACCGCGGGGCGGCACGCCACAGCCCGTCGCTCTGTCTCTCTCGCACTCACGGAGCGTGCCGTATGGGTGCGAGAGAGACAGAGCGACGGAAAGTACTCTCGGAATCAGCCTGCAAGCCCCCAGCGAGGCAAGCCGAAGACGCTCGGGCCATAAATCGGGCCCTGCTCATTTGCAAAGGAAATGCATCCCCTCTCGAGAAGTGCGGCGATTATTATTTGCCTGGACTGTACCGCGGCACCGCGCCGCCGCGGCCAGGCTAACGGAGTTTTGGCCGAGATGAGTCAATTAATGTCGTCGAGTGGGGTCGGGTCGGGTCGGCCTCGGCCGGTGGCGCCGCACCGCGCTCCGAGATAACTTTGAGTGGGACTCCGCGCTCTGGGGCCCGTCGGCCCGTCTGGCTAGCAGACTCATTCCGAGAGTCGTTTCGTCGCTCCGTCTCTGTCGCACTAGCGAGGCGTCCCGCATGGGTGCGAGAGAGACAGAGCGACTCGCTCGGAAAGAGTCCGACGACGTCGAGGTGGTAATTGGCTTTCGGAGCGCACGGGAGCAGCATGCGTCGTGCGAGCCCTGAGGGTTCCTCCCCGGGTTCAAGTACAGCCCGCGGCGGAAGTTTTTGTGTTTGTGGCGCGCCTCGCGGGGTCGCGGTGTGGCCGGGGGGTCCGGCGGGGTGACGCAAGCGCGGGGAGGGGACGGCCCCGCGGCCCGCCACGGCGCCACGGCTTTGCGCGTAATAATGAATTTGCAATTTGCGTGAGGCCGCGTCGCCGCGGCACCACGGCCCGGCCGCGCTCGGCGCGCACCTCTGCTCGACTCGTCAGCGCTGCCCGCGGCAGTGCGCACGCCGGGCACACCCACGCGCCGGCAGCGCGACTACACGCCCACAAATCCGCTTCATTGTTTTCAGTTTTTGTTGGCATTCCCATTTCATCATTGGAGATGGGTCTGGTTGGGCTACTGCGGCGCACCGACGCGACCCCGCGGACTGCCAGGCGAATGTGAATGTGAGTGCAGGGGCAGCCCGAAGCTTGCCCAACATTCGCATCGACATTGCGGTGGAGCCTCTCCTCGGCTCGCGGCCCGGCTCGCGGCCCGGCTCGCCCGGAACACACGGGCGGCCCGCTGCGCGACGGACTTTTATTCGCTCTGCAAGCCCAGCCAGCACCCGGAGGGTGTTGCTGGAAAACCACGCTGTAAAACTTGGGGAATAGGTGCGGGAACTATCCCAGCCCGTCGCCGCGGGCACCGCCAAAAAAAAGGAGAGGAGAGAGGGACACAGCAGGGCGGGGCGGCCTGCCGTCTGTCGGGTAAATGGTCATGGGCGGGCCGCGGCGCGCCGACGAATGCCTTCATGGCCTTTAGGCGGACAAAATGAAAGCGCTCTGCTGGCCCAGCCCAGCCCAGCCCGGCCCGCCAGCGGCTTGATAAGAACTGGAATACAATTACCCCCAAATTGGCAATTTCCATTCGTGAACCGGCGGCGCTGTCTCCTCGTCATCCCATCGGCTTCACGCATGGCGGGCCGAGGGCGGGCCGAGGCCTGCAGGGCGGAGGGTCCCGCAGGAAGAGGGAAGACCCTGGAGGGCTGGAGACCGGAGGGCTGAGGGACGGCCGGGGCATCCTGCAGGATGTAGCGCGGAAAAGCGGGCGCCACTCGGCCCGAAGGCCCGGAGGACCCCATCCCATCCCCATTGCCCCCGATTAACTGCCTGGCGACGGATTGCCAGGCAGGAGGCTTGACGCTGCAGCAAATTACATTGTCGGCCAATCTTACGAGTATCGGATCGTCAAAAGGGAAGTAAAATAAGCAAAATGACGGTGACGTCGAACCCCTGTCGATAGTACGGCATGTTGAGGGCAGTGCGGCCGACCGCGTTGTTTGGGTGGTTCTGCTGGCTTTTCTCTAGCTTGCCCTAGGCCAGCCCATCTCATACGTGCCAAGGCTGGCCGCAGAGGCAGGCCACAGAGGCAGGCCGCACAGGCCGGCCGCAAACAGGCCGCAGTGCGGGTGCGTGAAACCACAGCCGCCCGCTGAGTTTCTCATGGACCTCCGGCGTCACTCCGCGTGCGGACTGATTCCGAGAGTCGTTTCCGTCCCTCTCTCTCTGTCTCTCTCGCTCGCCAACACGGGCACGCCCCGTGAGTGCGAGAGAGACAGCGACAGTCTGCTGGGTGGCCGGAGCGAAAGCGCGCCGCATTCCGGCGTCCAAGCAAAACGCGGCCGAATCCGCAATCCGCGACGACGGCGACCTCCTGACAAAGAAAAAGCCATCCAGTGGGTTTGCAACGACCCGGATCGGATACCGCGAGCAAAATGGCCAACTAGTTCAGGCTTCATGTCTCTCTCTCTCTCGCACCCCGACGGACGCTCCACAAGTCCAAGCGAGATAGAGTGACGAGAGCCGTGTTCGGAGCAGGCCCCTAGCGCGCGCTGCGGCAGTGGCATGAAATAAATTTAATGAAAAGCGAGAGAAAGGGCGCCCCGAGCCTCGCGTATAGTTCTGCGGGACAGGCTTTATTTTATGTGTGCTTTGGTCAAATTGCCTGCGGCGTAGTTTTCGCGAGTCGGAACAGGCAGGCCGGCCTCGCTCAGCCTCGCGCACCCATTTCCAATTCTTCCACATTCTTTCGGAAGAGGGCATGGGACGGGCGCACTCATGCGTACGAGCTCCATGGAATCAACAACACATTCATGCGAAGATTTTGGCCCGGTGAGTCCGAACAGTTTTCATCAAATTTTTCGCGCGAGAGTGTGTGCTGAGAAGGATGAAATCGTACCTCTAATTCACGTGTTAGACGGCTCACGCACATCGCACCGTGATAGAGATTTCATTTTTTTCTCTCTCCCTCCCTTCCGGCAATGAGGCAGTCGACTGTCGTGACGGTGTGGTTGCTGCGGGGCTCCCCGCAGGGCGTGCCGCGGCGCTACGCGGCGCCCCCACGGCCGCCACCCTGCGAGCTAATTCATCACCTAATGCACCACTTCACTTCTCCGATACGTATCTGCGCTGAGGTTTCCCCCCGCTCGGCGCGCTCGCTGGACGGATGGCAGCAGGGGATGAACACCGACGTCCGGGCAGGAAGGGCGTGGTGTGGCGGGGCGGGGGCGTCTCAGACGGCCGGGGTGTCATTCATCTCCCCGGTCGGGGAGCCCAGAGGACCGCCAGCCAAAACGGCAGGCCTCTCTCTCGCACTCTCACGGGGTCATGGGGCGGCCCATGAGTGCGACAGAGACAGCAAAGTGGCCTCTCCGAAGCGTGCGGCAGCACGGCAGGCAACCCGCCACGGCGCCACGGTCCGCCGGCCATGGCTCGGCCCTTCCCCCAGGGCAGCGTACAGGGTAGTGCTGTGCCTCGTCGCCGAGCCCAGGCCGAGGCCGTGCATGGCATGCGTACGCGGCCGAAGCGACTGGATGTCGCTCCCCCTCGAAGACCCCCCAGCCCGGCCACACCCAGCCCCACCGCGGGGCCACGGCGACAACGCCCACGCAACAGAGCGCCCTCCGGGGCGAATTAACGCAACCTCCGCGACGCTCCGTTCCGTCGCCCCGCCCGACCAGGCTAAAATGACCTTCGCTTCAATTAAATTTTCATTTCATTTGCGGCGAAGCCCGCGGCATTACGACTCCGAACGCGAAGTGAGCGTCCCCGCGCCGCCAGTGGACTAATTCCGAGAGCCGTTTTTCTCGCTCACACCTGCATGGAACGCTCCATGAGTGCGAGAGTGACAGAGCGACAAAAACGACCATCGAACGTGAGCGTGGCTGGCCGCGTCTTGTCGCCGAGACGGAGGTGACAAAAATGGGCAGCACGGCACGGCGACTTGAACTCCGCGAAAGAGAAGCAATGGCTTTCGGTTATCACTGCCGGTCCAGCAGAGCGCCTCTCTCTCTCTCTCTCTCTCTCTCTCTCTCTCTCTCTCTCTCTCTCTCTCTCTCTCTCTCTCTCTCTCTCTCTCTCTCTCTCTCTCTCTCTCTCTCTCTCTGTCGCTCTCTTTCGCCTCGCTCGGGAACGGCCCGCTCCATCTGGCAACATGACTCGGCGACGACCGTCCCGCCGGCACTAGGACGACGGTGAAGGGCACGGCGGGCTGCACATGGGACCCGCACTGCGAGCTGCGCGCGGGTGCGGTAACACGGCAGTAACGGGGTAACGGAGTAACAGGGTAACAGAGCCGAATCCGGCGCGGCCAGCCTAACAGCCTTTCGTCAGTGCCCTCCAGAGCGGCGCCCCGCCCGCTCAGGGTCGCCTTCGTTTTGTTGCAGTGCGGCGCCCGATTAGAACGCCCAAATACTTTGTCAGAGACAATGAGTGTAAAGCCCCCGCCCCGCCCCACCCGTGAGGCAAAGCAGTGCCTTTGTGTCGGCGAATGCACCTGGGCTCGCTCACGGTGCTTAGCCCTGGACACCGCGCCCATTGGTCCAAAGGAAATCCAATCCCTGCGCGCTGATTGGTCCAAATAAACGAACGCTCGACACTGATTGGCCGCGAGCTTCTAACGACGCCGGCTTGCGATTTTGTTTCGACCGTCTGTAACCGCGTGGGCGCGGCCCAAAGCCAGAAGCGCCAAAGCCACACTATCGGACAACGCTCCGGTGCACACGGCGGGGCGCGGCGGGGCGCGGCGGGGCTTGAATAGAGGAGAGGGCCCCCTAATCCCACCAACCCCTTCACGAGGCTTTCACATACAAACACCCCGCTGGCTGCCTGCCTGCCTGGCCGCCAGCCTTGCCGATATTGTATTATCGCTGTGCCTTTTGGAGGGATGCGAGGCCAGGCCGCGTGCCCCGCTTCGCCCCGCTTCGCCCCGCTTCGCCCAGATTCACGTCGCACACTGCATGGGGCGACCCCCTTCTCCCCTCCCCCTGCGGCCCCCAGGGGCGAAGCGGGGCGGAGTGGCCGCAGCACCCTCTCTCTGTGTCAGCCCTGAAGGGCCGGGACTACGGGACCGCCTCACGCTTCGCGCCGCTTCGCATCGCTTCGCAGCCGTTTTGCCGTGTGGTTTCAAGCGGGGCGCGTAGTTTGTTGTGAGGCTTTCAAAATCGCGGCCCGGACGGCAGGCAAACGAGCAGCCCTGGGGTGCGGTCCGGGCAGGGCCGCCTCTACTTCACTAATTGGCATCCAAAACTAGACAATTACCAGGCGGGTCGTGTCGGACAGGCCGGTCGGTAAAAACGGACTCCGAGAGCAGGGCAACCATGCTGGAAGCGGAACCAGCAACGTCCGAAGCGAAGCACCGAGCGAAGCGCCCACGTCTTCCAGCGGTCCAATCTCCGCTGTGACCTCCCCCGTTGGCGTGTGAAGCTCAACAGGCGTCCTTTGTCACCCTTCCGGTTTGCCCGGGTTTCCCGTTTCCGGTTTATGCGCGTTTCCGCTTTTCAAAGTGCCGGCCTTCTCTGTCTGTTGCAGGCGCAGCGGCCTTCTCCGGCGGCCCCGTGTACGTGGGGCCGCAGGGCTCGTCGCCCGCCGCGCCCAAGCCGGCCGCGGTGGACCCCGGCCTGCAGACGACACAGACCGTGTACGGCTTCCTGGACTTCACCACCACCATCGGCAACACCGTGATGGTCTTCTCGCCGCAGAGCGCGCCCGCGCACACCACGCAGGCGCCCGCCACCACGGCCGCGCCCGTCATCGAGACGAGGCCGGCCGCCGCGCCGCCCGCGCCCGCCGCCATCCAGCCCAGCAAGCCCACGGCCACCAAGCAGCCCGCCGTGCTGTCCAGCGTGGTGGAGGTGCGCGGCGGCGAGGCGCCCGTCGACAAGGTGAGTCCATCTCGACTTTGCATCTCCAAAGCGCCCAGAAGGGGGCACAAAAAGGAACGCTTCTTTTAGCGGGGTAGGATTCGAACCCGGCCCCCTGTAGTCACTTTGCCGCGGACGGCCACGGCAGGCCATTCGTCTTGGGGGAAAATGAAGTTAAAGAAGGGCCAGGAAAGGCAGGCCACAGGCCAGGAATCTTAGATCAGCCCTGCTCTGGAATGGTTCCAAACAAATGTGAGTGCTTCTATGCTTGGCCGGGCCCCGCCTGGCTCCGTCCGCGGACGGCGCGCCGGCCCTGAGTGGGGCGGGGACGCGTATGTTCCCGAAACTTGCTATGAAGGCTAGGGGAATCTCTTCCGCTGTAAAGAGGGCGGCCAGTGAAGATGTAAATCGCGCAGCGCACGAAGAAGAACGAAAAAGGGAGGTAGTCGAACCCGGGGCCTTCTTGGACAAGCGCGAAACACTTACGCGCTGCCACCATCGAAACGGCGACACTGACCGTCGTTCGTCTGGCCGTTCCACGGCGAGTGTGGGCCGGCAAGCTTGTTGTCGGCCAATCCGGCATCCGGGACCGCCCCGGACGCTCCTGCACATCCACGACGACGCGCTCCATTACGCGGCCGCGAGTGCCGCCGGGGCGCTTAAAACGCCGCGAAAGACGAGGCGGCCGAGACGTGCCCACGCCATCAACCCCGCGGCCGCCGAGGTGCCTGGGGCTGGCCTGGGGAGCGGGGCCATTAACGGGGCGACGACGTCTTACGTCGCTTTAACGCGCTTTAGCAGGGGAGGAAGGGGGCGTCTAGCGAGGACCCGTGTAGCAGTCGCGAACCCGAGAGAGGCACCACGGCAACACGCAGGCCGCCACGCCCGGCCACGCCGCCAGGCTGCGACACCTGCAGATGGGCCAGCTGGGAGGCAGGGGTCTATTGTTCTGTGTATGGCTGTGGGAGGGACGGCGACGCTCACTCATTCGCGACGTCTCTGTCTCTCTCTAACACTTACTTCTCGTCCGGGCCCGGCCGGGCAGACACAAACTCACACAAGCACACACGGTGTGGCCTCAGCGAGGCGGGCTTACGACATCACGCTCTGCGGCTCTGCGTGCGTGTGTCCTTTCTTCGCCACTCGCTGTCACAGACGTCCACCGCGGAGTACAAAAGGCCCACGGCGAGAAAATAAAACGAAAACACGTTTCGACTGGGCTTTGAACCTGCGACCCTTCCCTCTCTGTGTTGCAGGTTGACGGCCCGATCCTGTCCAGCGTGGTGGAGGTGCGAGAGGGCCCCGCGCCCTCCGCGTCACCCGCCGCCTCGCCCGCCGTGCAGCGGGTCGTGTTCTCCAGCGTGGTGGAGGTCAAGGAGGCGCCCGCCCCCAGGATCCTGTCCAGCATCGTGGAGGTCAAGGAGGCCGTCAGCGTGGCGCCCCCGAAGGTGCTCTCCAGCGTCGTCCAGGTAGGCCGGACAGCAGCGTGCCAGCAGCGTGCGCCCGGCACGGCGAGCGCGCCGCCGCAGAGCGCAGGCGCCTGTTGGGTTGCCTAACCGCCCGCCGTGCGGGGTAGCGAGGCACGCCCGGCGCCAGTTGGGTTGCCTGCCCGCCTGGAGTAGCGACGCATGTTATACGGCTCTCAGTTGGGTTGTCTCATGCCTCCGTCTGCTGCAGGTCGTCGGCGGCGACTCCCCGGCCCCGTCCGTGTCCCTGCCGGCGCCCAAGGTGTCCGTGCTGACGTCGTCCCACGACGAGCCTGCCATCTCCGGCAACAACCTGGTCATCGGGCCCGAGTACGACTTCCTGTCGCGCCAGCCGTCCGAGGTGGTGGACGAGACCTACAAGGTGATCGACCTGCGGCCCAGCGCCAAGCACAAGACCCCCGGCGCGCGCAGCCGCGTCAATGTGGTCGTGTCCTCGCACGTGGCCGAGAGCCCCGCCCTGCCGCCGTCCGGGCCGCCCGCGCCCGCGCCGTCCGGCCCCCACAAGCCGCACCCCACCGGGCTGGTCACCAAGCTGGGCGGCACCGTGGTCAAGGAGGGCGTCACCACCGTCCACGAGACGTCCGTCATCGGCACCTTCATCTCCGGGAAGTACGCGCAGGTAAGTGCCCGCTGCCCGCTGCAATGCCACCTTTTAGACTTGATTGTATTGACCAACGCCCGCCTCCGCCGCGCAGGTCCTGGAGAGCACGTCCCACGTGATCCAGCCCAAGCAGAAGGCCCCCGCCATCAAACCCACCGCCGCCTCGCAGGCCCGCATCCTCAAGACGGCCGCCCCCACCGCCAAGCAGCTGCGCCACAACCTGGACCCCACCCCCGCCGCCTCCGTGCACGAGGAGACCGCCGTGCTGCCCCTGGAGGCCCTCTTCAGCCAGCCAGGTGCGTTTAAGAGCCGACGTCCTCCTGAACATGCTTTAATTTTAATTTCGGCGTCGCATTGTTGTCTGACGAGGACTCTGTTGCCCAGCCGGACACAACCAGGTGCGGCCTGCCCGCCGCTCGGGCGGCGCCTCCCGAAGAACGACTTCAAGGCGCGCTTTGGCTCCGGCTCGGGCCGCGCCGGCCGCCTGGGTGGCTCCCGCGAGGTGGACGCCACCGACGGCGAGCAGGACATCCAGGAGCAGGACATCCAGGAGGACCACGACGACAGCCAGGGCCCCAGCTACAAGAGCAAGCAGCGCCAGAGGGGCTTCAGGTGAGCAGGCGATGTTCGGCTGCCGTGACACGGCCTGCGTCGCCACCACGCCGGTCGTTGCGAGCTGATGCCCCTGGAGATTAGGCCACCCATCCTACTCCCGGCCGATGCCGCCTGCCCAGCGACGGGGCGCGTTCGTCGCTCCGTCTCTCTCGCACCCCCGCGGAACGCAACACGCGTGCGACAGAGACAGCGCGACGAATACGCGTCGTTCGGAGTCAGCCTACAGCCCAGCGCTCCCGCGCCAGCGTGAGGCCGGGACGGGCCGGGACGCCGCAATTGCGTGGCGATGAGTTTTGAATATCACATGACCCGTCGCTGCGAGGGGCGGCGGAAGGGGGAAGGGGGCAGGAGGAGGGGGCAGCAGATTTATAGTGCGCGGGGCCTCTTATCCGCAAACACCGCTGCGAGGTAAATAGGGGCGCCAGAGTCGAGACACGACAGGGGACCTCCCCCGCGGCCCCCGCCAACCCTCCCCGTCAAACGATGTCGCCCCCTCGTGCTGCATTCTGCATTGCCCCAGGAAGGCGCGCGGACCGCCCGGCCGAGGCCGTGCTGGCGGCCTCCGCGGTGTAGGGCCGCGCTGCCGCGCTACGCAGTGTAATCACCATATTTCCCGGCGCCGCGACTTTTATACCCGTTTTGAGGACGACGGAGTGGCGGTAATGACGGCGATAGATTTACAGCGCCGAGTCGAGCAGCGGAGCGGCGGAGGGGGCGAGTGAATCGGAAGCGCGCTCGCCGCCCCCGCGCCGCCCCCGCGCCGCCCCCTGTTCCGTTCCCGGCCAGCGCCGGGCCACCAGGGCTGTTCGCCATTTATATCGAAACCTGTTAACGAGCCGGCCCACAGGGAGTGGGGCCACGGCAGAGCCATTCCGAACAGTCCGCTCTGGTCGCTCTGTCTCTGTCGCGCTTCTGGGGGCGTCCCACAGGGCCCGCAGGGGTGCGAGGGAGACAGAGCACCCCGAGCGGAGTCAGTCTGCTGGCGTGTCGTGGCGGTGATCGCGGCCCCCATCGATTTCGACCGGCTGCCTCGCTGTTTCTTTTCCTCAAGCCCTCGCTGGTGGACTGATCGTCCCTCTCCGTCGCTCCGCCGCGCTCCCTCTCTGTCGGCCTCGGCGCGTCCTCCGCATCGCCCAGGGAACTCGCGAGTCGCGCTGCGTCTGGATGGGATTGGGATTCATCCCATGTTGGTAATTAAAGCCATATCGGACACGCTCGGCGTTTACCGCCACCGAACGACTAGCGGCCCCAGCGGTTTTTTCTGCCGATTTTACCCGCCCTCCACCTCGCTCGGCACGTGTGTGTGTGTGTGTGAGTGCGTATGTGGGAGTGAGTGTGGTCGGTTACACGTGGAACTTTGCCGACGGAACTCACACACACGCTAGCACACGCACACACACTCACCGCCTCGCACCCTCCGCACCGCGCGCCCACTCGGGCAAAAACTCGCACGCGTGGTTACGCACCCCCTGCTCCGCCCCGCTCCGCCCCAAGCCTCCCCCTCCCCCCTCTCCTCGATCGGGGCCCCTCTCACGCATGCCCGCGTTCCGATCGGAGCGACCACGGCCCTGGCGGCCCGGCCCAAGGCCTGGCTGGCCTGCCTGGCTGCTTTTCAAACTTTGAGCAATTAATATCGCTCTCTTTGCGGCGCCGAACCGCGCCAAGGCGTGTGCATTCCTTGTCTAATCAAATACGGGCAGCCGGGCCGGGGAGGAATGCACACTCTCAACATCTTATGATCGTTTTTATACGTATTACGATGATTTTTCATCGTAGGGTACGCATAAATTTTCACATACGTAATTGCTAGACTTTGCGATAAGGTATGCATGATTTCATCGATACGCAGGTTCTACATAAGGTATGCATGATTTCTAATCATTACGTGAATTTCATGTAGTACGTATGTTCTCATTTCAACGTAAGTTATGATGACCCTTCATCTAAGATTAGAGGTGCACGCGGGAATGCAGCGCCCCGCCCCGCTCGTAATTATGAGGCTCCGCGATACATGGCAAAGCTCTGGTGGCTCTAGCCAGTGGGCTGAATTCCACACACACACTCCACTAGAAGCCGCCCTCCGCCCTCAGACCGCCGGCACCGCCGCCACCGCCGGCACCACGCATAGCGCTTGGGGTTATTACACGGTCTGGCTGGCGGTGGCACACCGCTGCCCCGCCCCGCCCCGCTCTCCTCCACGGTCGCGTGGCCACGCCGCCGACTCCGCCGTTAATTGCTGTACGTATACGGAGGCAGCGCGAAAATTAAAATCATCGATAGTAATCGATATATCTCTAGGCTCGCCGGAGTGGCGGCGCCGCCGCGATCCCACTCCACTGTATACGCCACTGGCACACTCGCAACGCACACCAGTGCTGTAATTTTAATGAGAACTGCCAGCGCTGTGGCGGCAAGCCTCGTCGCTCTGTCTCTCTCGCACTCATGGGGCGTCCCGCATAGGCGCGAGAGAGACAGGGGCAGCTGTCTGAGCTTCGACCGCGCGGCACGCCACTGTCGGCCAGCAGGTCACTCCGCACAATTTAGGGTCTGGCGGGACACTAATAGTTGTCTCGTCGAAAAGACAGGTTAGGTTAGACCACCGCATGCCGTGGTGCAGGGTGCGGACGAAACAGCGAACAGTGTACTGCGTGCTGTGGGGTTGAGAGAGACAGACATTGCGCCCGGCTGTACGTTCTATCTCGCCTCCTCATCTGGACGGAATGGTGTAGGGGCCGGCGGACACATGCCTCAACTCAAGTGAGGCGCTCACCCCAGCCGCCGCGCCGCGGCTCGGCCCCCTTATCGGCCTTCTGCAGGTGCAAGGCGCTGCCCCAGCGCTGCCCCAGGCGTGTGCCGTGCTGCCGTGTGGAGCTTGGCGGAGCCCCAGCGCCGCCCCGCCCGAGCAGGCAGCACTGACGCTTCCCTTTTGTCGGCAGCCCCGCTCCCCGGCCGGGCGGCAGGCCGCGCGCTCCCGCGGGACCCAGCTCGTCCGAGCAGCAGGAGTCCACCCCGCAGCCGCCGGGCTCCCGGCGCTACCAGCAGTCGCCCCGGAAGAACTTCCGCAACTCGGCCGTCGGCAGCAACTCCATCCAGCAGGAGTCGTCGAGCGGGCACACGCGGCGCGGGTACAAGCCGCGCCTGCACACCTCGGCCGTCGACCAGGTAAGCGGAGAGGCGCCACACAGTGGGCCAGACCGGTGGAGGCGGTCAAAATCCCGGACGGGTTTTGAGCTCCAGAGTCGCTTAATCGGACTCGAACCGAACGTGTGACCCCACCAATGGATTACTCTCCGAACGAGGAGTCCATTAGTGGAGTCACACGTTCGGTTCGAGTCCTGTTTAGCGACTCTGGAGCTCAAAACGCGTCTAGAGTTAAGTTTTGGCAGGCTGCGCCAGTCTCCTGGCCCGCTGTGCGCCACCACACCGGATGAGGAGAGTCGTACCGTGTCGTCTGCTCCTGTTGTTCCTCGTCCACACCACTGTGCGATTAACCGACAGGGTTCACGAGTGGTACGCCTGTAGAGCATTCGTCGTTGGGTGGAGTTGAAAGCTTTCCATCGCGCCGAACGGACGGGCGGGGCGACTCGACCCGTTCACCTGTGGAGGCGAAATGAATGGCGAGGTGGAAAGTATTAAAACCACGCACGATGCGATGATGGCGGTGATGGCAGGCCGGCCTGTGTATCGTTATAATTCAATTCGAGTCCCGGTGCGGCTTGTTGCGCTTCCGAAGCATTAACGCGCTAACTGACCTGACACAACGCTTATCACTTCGTCTGCATGCTGAAAAACCCAGAAACCCCCCAAGGGGACTAAACAAAAAATAATTTATTTCAAAAAATTCGTCATTTTGGAACGGTTTGCTGACATAAATTGCTAGTGCTTCGCTTCGAGGGTGCCGCCAAAACGCGTCGCTCTGCGCTAGTGTGCGCACCGGTGCGCACACCCTCAGCACAACAAATAATGAAATAACGCGCTGGAGGTTCTAAAAAGTAATTTTCAAATCGATTCTGCTTTGATTGCGGCGTGCGGCCGCTGGGCCGGCGCGCTTATTGGAAAGACAATACACTGAATAATACATAGTGTGACGGAATAACAACAAACACTCCACTCTCGCGCTAATCCGCTTCGCTGCGGCCCGCCCCTGGCCCGCCCTGCAGCAGCCCACCGAATCCGAAGGGCCGTTTCGTCGCTCTGTCTCTCTCGCTCACCACGGGACGCCGCATGGGTGCGACAGAGACAGGGCGTCGGGGCGCCTCTTCGGATTCGCTGGGCGGCAATCCCGGTGCGCCACGCGGGGCTTATGGAATATGTTGCCATCCGGTGCGCTGGCCATTGCTGCGCTCGGCGCGCTCGGCGCGTTCAGAGCCGGATTTGGGTCTCGTTCTCGCTCGGGCCGCGGTGCCGCGGTCCGCCGAGTCTAATCATGGCTGTGAACCAGGCGGGCTGCCTCGCTGCTTGAGGGCGCTTCCTAACCCACTAACCCTTGTCCGAACAGGAGACGCACTTTGAACAGACCGAGGGCGTCGCCGCGGCTTCCACCGTAAGTACGCCTGCATGGCAAAGCGAAGCAAAGGCATGGCTTGCACGCCGGGGCAAGGCCGGGGTCGCCGCGTTGCGTTTTGCGAGCTCGGCGCGCTCAGTGTGTGGAGTGACGTCTGTTTCCCCGCAGGGCTCCTCGTCGCCCTCCACCATCCACAAGTTCAAGCTGAGCAGACCCAACGGCCGCTGGCAGTACAAGACCACCCCCAAGCCCAGGATCAACATCCGCCGCCAGGACGGCGACACCACCCCCGCGCCGCCCGCGCTGCAGCAGGCCCAGCAGCTGCAGGAGCTGGGCACCAGCTTCTCCACCTCGGTGTCCAGCTCGTCGTCGTCCCCCAACAACGTGACCCCCGAGCAGGTGCGTAACGAAACTCCACGCGAGGCCCCACCGCCGTCGGCGTCCTTCACTCGGGTCAGTCTTCCTCCGCCGGGAGGAACCGAGGAAATACCCCCCGACTCGACACGCACGCGTTTCCATCACCGCGGAGCTCTCTGTCGCGCGGAGTATCGCCGCCGCAAATCGACAGCCAAATAAATGTCGGTCCTTCCTTATCTCGCTCCAATTCCGTCTCGTCGAGTCGAGGGATGCGTGGTCTCGACCCGTAATAAACGACCCCACCCCGTCCCCCGTTCCCAGTTCCCGGGCTATACTGCCACGCGGAGTGGAGCGTCCCCAATCTTGGACTGCGCCCCGACCGATCCCCCGCGACGAAAAATTGCACCTCCGCACGCGCCGTTTTTAGCAATTGCCTCTTCCACCCCCAGGGCGAACTTGAGACCGCGGCCAGCGACGACCCCGACGCCCCCGAGCACGACGCGGCCGCCGAGGACGCCGTCGAGCCGCAGCCCGCGCAGGAGACCATCAAGGTGCAGATCTCGACGCCGGCTGACTTCAGGGACACGTACTACGAGATCGCCACCATCAGGTCCCCCTACACCTTCCAGGTAAGCAATGGGGAATCGGTGGGCACCCCTTCTGGCACGGGGAGTTACTAACCGCCATCTCGACCTAGGTGGGCAACAACAAGAACACCCGCTTCATCACCGTCACCTCCACGTTCGAGCGCACCCTGGAGCCCAGCACCACCGTGGAGCCGTCTGTTCAGCCCACGCTGTCGCCGTCCGAGCCGCTGACGGAGAACATCCTGGCCTCCACGACGGCCGCCGCCTACGACAAGCGCCTGGCCCTGGAGGCCGCGACCCTCGCCACGCTGCCGCCAATCGCCCTGGCGCCCGACCAGGCCACGCCGCCGCTGCAGACCGAGACGGAGACGTTCTCCACCACGCAAGTGCTGCTCAAGACGCACATCCTACCCGTGGTGCGCGGCCCCCAGAACACCACCCTGTACACGCTCGTGCAGACCTACAGCGTCACCAGGCTCGTCACCGCCATCAAGGTGAGCGCCCCGGCCGAGGCGAGGCCCGCGACGGCGGAGCCAAAGAGCCAGTTTCTAAGCCACGCGTGTTCCAGACGCTGCCGCCGATGGAGGTGTACCAGTTCGTGCCCAGCAAGACCCTGACCGACCTCAACACGCGCCTGGACGAGGCCGGCTCCGAGCTGCACCTGGAGCTGGACTTCGGCGATGACGGCAACGCCGAGGACGACGACGAGAACCCCGCCGCCGTCATGGCGCGGATAGCGCCGGACCTGGACCTCGCCAACGTGGGGCAGGAGTTCGACCCGTCCGACGTGGACAGGCAGCGGCCCAAGAAGGCGCACCAGGTACGTGTCACTTCCAGAGTCCAGTCGGAGGGGCGGTGCTCCCGGACGGACGGTCCCCAGCCGGGCGGGCACGCCGACGAGGGCGCCGCGGGGCGTTGTTAGGCAGTGCCCTGGTGCCCGCCGTGCCCGCTCCCCAACTTGCGCAACTTATGCGCTGCCCCCAGCGGCCAGTTTAGAAGTAGTGTATTGAGGACCCGCGGCACAAGGCGCCAGTCGAGGCGGAAAGAGTTTGCTCCGCCGCTCCGCCCTCCCTGACGTATTCTCGGGCCTTGTTTCGCAGAGCGGCTCCCCAGCGAATGCCGTGCAGAGCCCCACCGAGGCGCCGACCACTCCGCCGCCCAGCACGCCCAACCCCAACGCGGCCAACCCGGCGCTCAGCCCCGAGCATCTGCAGCAACTGGCGCTACTGCGCTTCCTGAACCCCCAGGCGGCCGCCGCGCTGGGGCCGCAGGTCATCACCACGTCCAAGCCCGTCATTAAGTAAGTCGAGTACCCGCAAGTAATTTCCGTCGTGGATTTCCAGCCGCAGTTTCAGTCGCCCTAACGGCGAAAGTTGCGAGGCACGCTGCACGCCGTAATGAATAGCCCGGTATCAAAATTCAATTGCTGTCCCCTGCAACGCCCTTCTTCTTGCCCGCAGGGTGGAGACGCTGTACGAGTCGCACGTGATCCCCGTGTTCAACGGGCTGGTGACGTCACTGTCCACGCTGTCACGGCCCGTGTCCACCGTGACGCGCACCGAGTTCGAGCTGGCCACGTCCACGGCGCTGCCGCCGCCGGGACTGCCGCCGCAGGGCCTGCAGCAACTGCCGCAACTGCCCCTGTTCCCGCAGCCCAACCAGTTCCAGGTCACCTCCAGCCCCCTCGTCACCCAGACCATGGTCACCCAGACCGACTCCAAGGTGGGTGTTCCGCTGGCAGTCCGCTTGCCGGTTTGAGGAACGGCGCGCCGACATGCAGCCCACCGACGGGGCTGCTTGCGGGACGGGCTAGCCGCCAGGGCAGTCCCAGACGGCCAGCCGCGGCCAGCGCTCCGATCGTACATCAGAGTAACAACGCTCGTCTGTCTGCCCGCAGGTCCTCAAGCTCACGTTCGGCGCCAAGACGGCCTACACGACGCTGTTCTCGACGCGCGTCGTGCCCACTCTGCTCACCACCTACCTCACCGCCAACGTGCCCGTCCAGCCCACCGCCGCCCCCTTCCCCGGCTACTTCCCCGCCCCCTTCCCCTCCTACCCCTACGTGGGCTAGGTCGGCCCGCCCCCGGGGCTGCGCGCGGGGAGCTTGCCTCGTCACTCACCCCGGACGCAGCCCGGCTTGGACCCAGTGACAGTGCACTTGCACTTCGAGCCGCCACCCCCCAGCGCCGCCGAGGCGACAGCTGATAATAAAAAAAGATTTTTTTTAAATGCATCATCTGCTAAAAATACGAGTGGATGGCGGCAGGTGGGGGGTGCTGCGACCTCCGCAAGAAGCCTTAAGGACCTTGAGTGCCTCGGCTAAGTCCCGGTGCGAAACGACTCGTCCCGACGACAACTTGTTTGGGTGCACTCTAGATTCAGGAGACAGCTGCCGTAGACAGAGAGGTGAGTGGGAAAAGAAATGCTCGAATCTCACAGGAAAAAGTATTATTTATTTTAGAAAAAAGGGTTTTGTGGCGCGGCGCCATAAAGAGATTTCTTTTGAGATTTATTGTAAAAATAGTACAAAATATATGGAGGTTGTGTGTAGATTACTATCGAGGCGGCCAACATGTGTCTGTTCGTTGTGCCGAAAAAAAGAACGTCTTTAAAATTATTTAAAATTTATTTTGGGCAAAACACTCAAAATGTTTCTCGGCAAAATGTCAGAGCTCGAATCTTAAAGTGTATTATTGTAAAACCATTTATGAAATTATAATTATTTTATTTACCGTATGTGCCTTATCATAGTTACAAATGATTAGAGTAAGTTTTCTACGTGATTTTGATACAACAGCGCGGCTTCACGTAGTAGTAGTATGAAACAAACATAATAGTGGCAGTTTTTTTTCGCGGCCTTTTTCAATATTCCTAATTGGGTCGTCACCGGACAAAACGTGTCTTTTTAAGGGATGCCTCGAGAAGATACGATGTTATGTTCGGTGACGAGTGGATTCTTGTGTCCGCAACCTGTTTTCCAATACTTCCCATGACATCGCTACGTACAGGATAATGTTTCACATTCGAGTAACTATGTACGTATGTAAAAGATTTTATTTAAGATTAATGTCTTAGTTCCGTTTACAACAAAGAGGTGTTTTCAAATGTTTCATTCTTAGTAACATAGCTGCTCACGTTTCAATGTATTGCTTTTCTACTGTTTTCTGACTGAAAGTGTGCGTGCGTGTATGTGTGTTAGTGTAAAATGAACGAGTGTGCGTGTGACTGTGATGTGTATTTGTGATCAATCTTTATGGCAGGAGACTAAACGCTAGAAGATCGTGCAAAAAGAATATTATCCCGCGAACTAAAAGCTTCAGAAGTATGAAAATTACGGTTCGGCTCTCTCTCCTAAGCTTTTTACAGCTTCCTTCGTTTTCTGTAGACATTGCCCGCCAGCCAGGCCCACGCGGGGAGAGCATTTTGTAAATAGTGTAAATAAGGCAAGTCGCTTGCAGTTACCAGTGGTGGCGGGAGGCTGGCCCGACCATCACCACCAATGTATGGCCATCGATTTGAATAAAAATTACAAACAATTAAACCTTGTGGCACCATTCTTCCTTACCCACGTTTCTCCAGTGTGCAACCATTTGTCCGGAGAACCCATCTGCACGTGGTGGGAGTGGTCAAGAGGGACTCCGCTGCGTCAATGACTGAAAGTTAACTTTTCATACATTTTAAAAGGGTAAAAGAGGAAAAAGCAGACGTTTTTATTGACGTCTCTCTCTTCCCGGCCTCGGCCCGGAACGATCATCACAACCTGTTTTGCAAAGGGGACACGAGTTAAGCGGGCCTTTAAGAGCACGGGAAAGGGGCGCCTTGAGGCGGGCCGCTTCAAAGGCGTGGTCGACGTGCCGCCGAGACGGCGAGCGGCCGGCCGGACGGCAACACATAGGGCCGAAATAGAGAAAGTGGATAAACATTTCCCTTTGGCAGCACTGCGTCCCCGCCGCCGCCCCTCCCTGACCTCTCTGATTCGATTCCAGCGAGTAGTTGGAGTGGCGCTCGGCGCGGGGTGGGGAGGGGTGCGGCCCGCCTGGGCCAGCCTGGCAGACGGGGACGCGGAAATATTAAAAAGGGAAGTAATATACTGCGACAAGTGGAGGGTTATCGACGGTCGGTGACGCGCCCTCGCCGCCCTCAGGCAGAGCCTCTCGCAGCGCTCTCGGGGCACATCAAGAGGGCCGTCGGAAAGCCCTTCTCTGGCCGTGACGTCCCCGCCGACAGTCCCCCGCCATTTTTCCGCGAGCTATCTCCTCCGCCAGTCAGATGCACTGCCTCCTTGTAATCGACGTTCGCGGACGGCACCGCCAGGCAACGCCCTGCCTCGCCTTATCGGGACCCGTTGCTCCTCTCGGTCCGACTGACTGACTGACGGTTCGGCTGACTGGCTGACTGACGGCAGTGGCAGTGAATTATCGAGATTGGCGTTCGGTCCACCGGCCGGCCGGGGCGCGTGCTGTGGGCCGGAAACCGAAGGAACAGACGGGCGGACAGACGCGGCGCCCAGGGACTGCCACAGCGATCAGTGTCGGCCTGTCGGGACTAGCGTGTATCCATCACGGTCTCTGCGCGTCACTTCTCCGGCGCCGCGGCTCCGGCACGCCACCCCGCTGCCCGGGGTTCGAATACCGGCGCCGCCCTCATTTATTTTTTATGCCCCTAATTGGATCCCACAAACCCCACCCTCACCTGTGGCCGCCCCGCCCCGCGAGCGACCTCCCGCCATTCCACAGCTCCCTTTCGGCGGGTCGGGGGGGCGCGTCTCGGAGACCTCGTCAAATTATTCTCTTCATGCAAACACTGGATTTCCATCTGAAAGGCGGGATCAGCCGCTCCTGCCACGCCGCTCCGGCCACTCCACCTGATCGCCGGCAGATGCCGATATTCTTAATAAATCTTCCACACTCAAAAGTCTACAGAGGGAAATGATATATCTCTGGCGCCGATGCCCCGCGCCCCAGCTCTTTATATATGTTTGTTTGGCGAGCCGCGGGGCCCCGCCAGCGACCCGCCCAGTCCTGGAACCCATTTTGCATTCTTATCTCGATCAACTGTCGCCGTCGTGGCAGTGTAGCTCATACTGTGCATTTTTCCGTTCGGTTCTCGGCGTGAAGTCCATCTGGTAAGAGTAGGGGGGACGAAGTGGTGGCAGCGCGGAAAATGAAGGAGTAATGTTGAGACTCGAACGCGGGTCCCGCGATCACTGGTGGACGCCTAAACGCTCTCGGCCATACAGTAAGGTTAGCTGGGTTTTTCCTTGAAACTACAATTGTGCGCGTGCGCCGCGACCACGGTCTAATACACTGGGACAAGAAAGCGCGGAATTCGTTAAATGCCAAGTCGGGGCCTCCACCAGTCGGGCTGTACTTTCCGCGAGCACAATGGAGTCGTCGTTGTCGGTGAACTGGCTTGCCTCGTGCCTTTAATACCCTCTTCACTCCGGACCAAGAACCCTGCCCGCCAGCACCGCCAGCCCCGCCAGCCAAGCAGAGCTGAGGACAGCAGTCCTTTCCAACCGCAACAACCTTGTCCGATGTAGTGCGACAGAGCGTAAGAAATGTGAAAGCAGTTACAGCAGCCCGAATGGGCGTGCAAGAGAGAGAGAGAGAGAGAGGGGGGGGGCGGGGTTATGGAGTGCGAGGACTCGTCTCTATCCCACGCAGCCCCCTTCCAGACACTCCAAACTGCCGTCCCACCGTAACGCTTAGACGAACACGCGAGTGTGCAGCACGACGCGACAATTTCGAAATTCCAGCGAAATTTATATGATTTTGATGGTAATAAAGGGTTGTGAAAATGCAAAAACAACGTCCTACACGCTGCAGGGGCACTGGCAGCGCGGGCGGCTAGCACGGCCGTGAGGTCCTGACACCTGCGCCTTGTTGATAACTATCCCGACCCCGATCCCCCGACCCGGCCCACCCTCGCTCACCCTGTGGCGTGGCTCAACCAGCAATTAAGCGGGCCGACTTGTAAGTCCAACGAGGAGCATCGTCTACTTTTAGCCCCCGCCCCTTTTACCGGACGGCCGCAGGTATATTATTCACTCCACTAATAATAGCCTGCTAATTAATCGGCATGATTAATGTTCGTGCGTTTTTGCCGACCCCTCAAAGTAATGAGTGTTAAAACGCTTTGCAGTAATTAATAGAAAGCACCTTGGACGATGGGCGGCCTTCTACATTGGCGGTGACGTCATTCTTTGCCCCTTGCAGCGGCAGCGCCCAGTTAGAGACCTAGAAGGTCTCTACGCCCGGAGACGCGGTCCCAGCCACGCCACCGAGAGCCAGACCCATCAAGTGAGGACTGAAAGGCGCTCGCATGTCGGGGCGCGGTGCTCGTTTGAGTCCTTTCAGAGGACCTCTCTCCGCCGCCATGCTGCCGCCATGCCGCCGCGCAGGGAAGGGTGATGAGACGGACGGAGCGCGCGCAAGGCGGTGGCCGGCAGTGGCCAGCCCCGCCGAAGAGGTGGACAATGTTTGATCCTTCATCCTCCTCCCGGGAATAAGGCTCATCCTGATGAAAGGACGGCCTTTGTCCCCTCCCGCTTTTATGCCCGGCCCGGTCGTCGTCTCCATCATCAGTCTGAGCGCGGTCCGGCGTGGCCCGGCTTCAGGTCATCGCGGTGCCCGGCCCGGCGTCGCCACTCGGCCCGCAAAGCGCCGCAGAGCCTCCCGCCTGGCGACGTCCATGTCCGTCCAGGCTGACGCCGTGCTGGGTAGGCAGCCCTTAATGCCGACTGTGCTGTCGCCGCGATGCTGCCGCTCCATTGGGCAGTCGGTTTGCGTCTGCCTCCCTGCCCGCCTGCCCGATCGCTCCCCTCGAGCGGAAGGGAGGGCGAGGGCCCTCCACGGTAACGGGGTCGTCCACTCCTCGGCCGGCCTCAGCCTCACCCTGGGGGCCAAGAGGGCCCCACGGCACCCAGGGGCCCCGCTGGACACCCGTGCATGCTGATCATAGCAATTCCAGCGATAGATTACGATCTGGCGGCCGTGGAGGTGGGCCCTGCCATGGCCCTGCCATGGCCCTGCCAGGGCCGGGGCGGCTGCCCCGCCTCCAGAGGACTGGCTACTAGGCGGTGCACACCGGTGGAAGGATGTCGGATTGTGCGGATACTACCGGCGAGTAGCACGCCTCCGGCCTGTCTCCTCCCGACCGGAAAAAGGAGGAGGAGGATGAGGGACAGAGTCACCAACCCGTTAAAGTCGATCTTGGCATTACAGCGGGGGCTCTAGAGGCGCGCGCCACGCCCGCCCCGCCGCCCCAGCCCGTCTCCGTCGATGTAAATCAAATTCGAGCGGCAGTGAAGCGGCTGGAGTGCCGCCTCGCCGGGGGCCAGGGCAGGATGGGGGCAGGCGGGGGCAGGCCCGGGGGCGGAGGGCGTGCAGCTGTGTCCTCCCTCGTGTCTCGTCCTGTCCACCGCTTCCCGCGCCGTCCTCCGTCCTCGTCAACAGACGGCAGCCTCGCCACCCCCGCCGACTCCTAAGGGTCTCTCTCTCTCTGCAGCTCCGTGGCCGCTCCGCCGGCTCGCCGCCCGATATCGGCAGATAGTGGCGCCCAGCGCCGCACCGGATGCCTGCGGTATTAACAAACTCGGCGGGCTTCCGGACGCGCAAACTTGCGGACCTGACGCGGCGCGGCGGCGCGGTGCATCGGAACAACCCCTTCGCCTGACCCCCCCCCCTCTCCCCCGTCTCTCTTTTTCCCCTTCCTGAAAGGCCTATTAAAGTCGTATTTGTCCCGGTTCCACAAACGTCCTTTTAATTGCGACGTTTGTGCAGTCGCTACTGCTGCCTCTGGCTGCGTCGGTGCGGTAGGTGAAACAAGGGCGCTTTTCCCCCTTTCACTGAGAGCCATCAGCGCTGGGCATCGGCGTAGCAGTAAACGGGGGAGGGGGTAAGTGGTGTGCCGGGAGCAGTCAGAGGGGCCGCGAAGCTCAACGGATATCAATAAGAAATAAAATGTTTACGAGGGCAGGGCGCGGGCAGGCCACGCAGGGGAGAGGGGTGGCGGTGGGAGCAATGCTAGGCAGAGTGGTGTGCGAGACGAGGTCGAAGTCAAAGCCGTTCCGGATATTCATTATAAATTCAGGTATAATGCAGGTAGCTTTTTTTTTTTAAAAAAAAGGAACTAACGACAACTGGATTTAAAACAAATCTGAAGGCTGTTAGTTTACCATGCTTGAACGGTTTGATTTCGTAAGCCCAACAGGTGTGTCCAGGTTGACTATGTATTTCCCCGTGTGGTCGAGAGATGGCGCTGCGGTCGGTGACCAGCCGTCCGCGCGCGCTGCCGTCTAGCCACCCCGTCTCTACCTGGCTCCGTGAGAGCAGCAAACAATTTGTCTTTGCGCAGCGGCGATATTGTAACCAATGAGGTCTATCCGAGGTGCAATTATTGCTAGTTGAAAACTTATACCAATACCCCGCTGGGAGAACTTGTAACATAGTCCACCTGGCAATTTTTGAAAGCCCCTACGGAGGCTAATAACCTGCAACTCTTACTTCGGTGATCTGAGCCGAGATTGAGATTTCCGACTTTAACACTGAACGACAAGGCATTTGTACGGCACTAAGTCAACATCTCATGTTACAAAGCGATTCGCGGTCGCTGCCGGGTGGACTGAGCCGACTGGGCCTCATCAGCGTAACGGCGGAGCGGCAGCCGGGCGAGGCGGCGATAGGGCGGAGTGGGGGTAGGACTGCGTGACACAAGCAGTGGGCGGCACGGTGGAGGGGCGGGCGGTATGCGCTCCGCTCAAGATGAGCAACGATCGCAATCCCCCTTTCTATCAAAATATCCTAACATTGCTACAGCATCACAGTACTACAAACGCCGATATAGTTGCAAAGTATCCATGATTTGCAAGAAAGCCGGATATCGATTTATCGAGCATAAGCCTCCGTAGAGGCTCTCAAAAATTGCCAGGGGGACTGTATTTCAAGTCCTCCCGGCGGGGTATTGGTATAAGTTTTCAACTAGCAATAATCGCACCTCGGATAAACCTCATTGGTTACGATATCGCCGCTGCGCAAAGTCAAACATATTGTCGCTCCCACGGAGCCAGGTAGAGAGGCGGCTGCTAGACCGCAGCGCGCGCGGCCGGCCGGCGCCGGGCTGCAGCGCCATCTACGGGCCGCGCAGGGAAACACCGGCGCAGGGAAGCCGACCACATCGCCAGAAATTAGAAGGAAGCACGTAAAAGAAGATGGTTCGAGTTTTTATTTGTTTCAAGGAAACTTGGAGCAAAAAGCAAGCAGTATTCGTTTCGTGTTTGCGTTTCGCGGAACAGCTGTCGCAGGCGAAGGGCTTTTCCCTGTTTTGAGAAATCCATGACAATCACGTCACTCGGGCGCCTCGGCGCATTTCATTGTTTCGTTGCTCTTCCACGAAGCGACGAGGAAATATTCCGTGGCGGAGTGGATGCCGATTGGCGAGTGGCGGGCTTGGCCAAGCGGTGCGTCCAAGTGACACGGGGCGCCGAGCGGACTGCCCCAACCCGCCGACGAAGCCGCCGACGGACACAAAGGCCCTGCTGACAGAATAAACAAAATTGAGAGCCTCGCAAGGCTGCCTCACCCCGCCCCGCCGCGGCCTGGGACGACGGCACTGCGCTGCGATGCACAAAGCCCTTCCCGGGAAAGCGCCGCCTGTTCGAAACGCGCCGAAAAAGGCGTCGGTGGGAAGTGACATGAAGCAAGCCCAGCAATTGCCAGTGAGTAGTACGACCTACGTCTCTGCGCCCCGGAGGAGCAACCCTGCGCCCTTGCGAGTGGCGAAGGCGAAGGCTGCCTTGAATCGGCGGGCAGCAGCGCCGCACAGCGCGGTCTACGACAAACAATCTGCAAAGAGTTTTTGTTCCGGAGCGCCGAGGGCAATCATCTCTGGCAGCCATGTAGTACGGCGTACGTGCGGAGCGCGGCGGGGGAGCGGCAGGCCGCTGTTATACTGCAGCGGCAACTTTTTCCAACGGAGAGTTTAGCTGGAAGAATGCGAGCCAGCCAGCCACAGTGGTGTAATGCAGGGGGAGTTGCAGGCAGACCTGGGGCTGTTGTGCAAGGGCTGCGGCGGGGTGGGGCGGCGCGCGGCGGCACTGTCAGTCCACGCGTCGCCGGGTTGGTTCCGACGGGCCGTCGCCTGGGCGATAGGCATACCAACTGGCATTCAAAAAACACAAATAGGAGGCGTTTTGTATGCACCTGGCGGCGAGAAGACGCACTCTCAGGAGGCGAGCGATGCAATTACATAATAATAACGTAATGATGAAAGCAAAAATGTCATTAAGATAAACATGACGAGATAATGGAGGGGGGGGGAGGCGGAGGCGGGGCGTTCCTCGGGTGGCCCTGAGCCTCGTCAAGGTGATAAGGCAGCAGTGATAAGGGCGGGCAAGGCGGGGTGGCGTGGTGGGGTGGGGATGTCCCAACCTGTCTCCCTGCTGTCCCTCCAGCTAAGTCGGTGAATCTTTCTCTCCCTAGAGCGCTTCCTTTAATATTAGTCCGACCGTCTCCGCCCGCCCTGGCTACACAGCGCAAACGACTTCACGGGCAAGCCAAATCCTCAGCTTAATAGAATAAATTTGAATGTGCTCTCGTTTAAACTCCGAATGTGATCTAATTAATTCACTAGTGCCACCTTCACTGGGAAAATATCTCTCGTCAGAGGAGATCCGAGATAATTAGCCCCCGTAGGGCCTTCCAAAATTGCCAGGTAAACTATATTACAAGTCCTCCTGGCGGAGTATTGATGTAAGTTTTCAACTAGCAATAACCGCACCTCGGATAAATCTCATTGGTTACGATACCGCCGCTGCGCACAGACAACTGACTCGTCGCTCCCACGGAGCCAGGTAGAGGCGCGGCTGCTAGACCGCAGCGCGCGCGGCCGGCCAGCCGCCGACCACAGCGCCACCTCCCGGCCACGCGGGGCAGCTAACCGGCAGCGAATCTTTGCATATAGACTTATTTTATTGCCTAAGGTATTTGCTGCGTATTTCTTTGGAATTCGCTGGCTGAGTACTTAAATTCTCGTCCTCGTTTTATTTTCTGGTGTTGGTGTGTACTCCTAATTTGACCATGTTTACCCCCAGGCCGCACCGCTCCGGGGGACCCTCGCTTGCAAAGTGCTCCTGCATCGCTTGTCGACGGATTTTCCTTGAATTGTTTTGGAGGCGTCGCGCCGCGTCGCGCGCGCGGAAGTTGTCTGCAAGTTCTGAGAGGCTCGCGGCGCCACGGCGTACGGTGTAGGGCCCCACTGCGCTGAGAGACGACACTCCGCGCGCCGCAGCGGCAGGCGGTGGGGGGCGGTGGGGGGTCGGTCCGGGTCGGTCGCGGAATATGGGCGAAAAAGATCGCCGGCCGGCCTAGTCGGCAAAATATTTGCCGTCCCCAGGAACGAGGGGCGAGGGCGGTGGAGGGGTGCTGTTATTGTAAATGGCTTTTATATACAGTGCTCCGGCCGGGCCGGGCCGGTCGCGGGGCTCGAATAAAACCCTTTTCTGTCCCCGAGACTTTGGCGGCCGCCATCGGCGCTGCGAGCTTCGGCCTCGGCGCGGCGAGGCGGCGAGGCGCGACGGGAGGCCCACAAAATATGGCTAAGCGCGCCGAACGGCCTGGAGCGCCTGGAGCGCCTGGAGCGCCATGGAGGCAGGGCACTTGGACTCGCCGCCCCGCGGACGCCCCGCGGACGGCCTCTCACCCTGAGGGCGGACTGCGGGGCCTAGCCGTCACATTCCGAAGGATTCGCTCTGTCTCTCTCGCTCCCCAGCGGGACGCCCATTGAGTATGCGACAGAGACGGAGCGGCGAAGCGCGCGGCTGCCCCGCGTGGACGGCAGCCAATTTCCGGCGCCCCGCGAAACGACTCCATTTCTTATTCGCAAACGCTTATTTATGTGGTGTGTACGGGCTGCCTGCCTGGCTGGCCGCCTCGCTTGCAGTGCGGGGACGCCCCTCTCTAATTCGGGGACCGATAAGGGAGGACTTCACAGGGTGCATGCCCGGCGTGTCGCTCTCTCTCTCTCTCTCTCCTCTCTCTCTCGCACGTCCCGAGTCGGAGCGACCGAGAGAAAGGGACAGAGTGACGACTCGGCGAGCGGAATCAGTCACGGCGAGGTCCACGCCGCTAAGCGCCGCTAAGGCCTCGCCGTTGATGAAAACCCCGGCCGCTTCCGCCAGCCCGCGCCAGCCACCCACAGGTAGCACTGCACTGGGAAAGTGCGCGGTGCGGGGGGGGGGGGGGGGGGTAAGAGGCTTAGGGATGAATAAAATGCGCTCCGTATAAGGTGGCGCAGACGGTGGCGGAGGGGAGGGGGAAGGGGGCTCTTTAATTAAGGAGAGGGGGCCGGTGACAAGAGGACCCGACGCCTCGGAGTGACTTTCACGTGCAGCCCCCGCCTCCTCCCCCTCTGCTCCTGACGACGCGAATCATGGCGCACGACGAACGTCCGTCCGGCTGTGAGCCTGCGCCGGCCAAGGCCTGGTTTTCCCGCCCGAGAGTGTCCCGAGGGTGCCACGCCTTAGAAAGTATACCGAGGGGGTTCAAAAACAGGTGTAGGTTACGCTCCATCTGATGGAAAATTTGTCTCCCCAACTAGAAAGGGCATGGTAAGGACGATTCCGACCTCAAAATCAATTTGGTGCAGATTATTCGGGTTAGTATCCATCTCCATTTATTTTTTGCGCTGCGCGGCTCAGGGCCCTGCCGGTGAGGGCGTGCTTCAGTTGTTACATAGTCGCTCCCCGGCACCCTGGCACTCCTCGTCCGGCAAATCGGGCGTGAGTAACGTTGGAGGTGTGCTCGACATCGTCGACACCCCACCCCGCCTCGGCCTGCCTCAGCCAGCCCTTGCCGCGCGCTCCGGACAAAAAAAATGGTCCGCCCTCCTTCCGACGGGGTCTTCTTTCCCACCATTGATCAACGCATTATCCCTGTTTTCAGAGCATTATACGCCAACTCCCCGATCGGAGAGCCCCGCCGGCCCGTCCGGCACCGCGCCAAGGCCCCTCCGCCCTACGCCCTCTGGCCCCGCCTCGCCCTGCCCGGCACCACGATTCACTTTCGAATCTATTCGTGTTGCGGGAAACGCCTGCCAAAAAAGGGAAAAAACGTACCGAATCCCACGGATTCCCATTCCTCAGGCTCGCTGTGGTCGTGCTCCGTCAGATAATGGCTGAATTATTTTGTTATAATCATCCGCCCTTCCTCCATCCTATCTCCCTGCCGCGGTGCCTGATGTCTGGGTTGGGCCGAGGAGAGAGCGCACTGGGAATCCAGGAACGTGACGTCACGTTCGTTTGAGCGTAATCGTGTCACCTTGCCGTGAATCAGGCCAAGGCTCGGGTAGGCTCAGGCGTAGCCGATTATTCTTTAGTTGGAATTAAATATGTCACAATATTTTTGAGTGGTGGAAGAAGAAGAAGGAAGAAGAAGAAGAAGAAGAAGAAGAAGAAGAAGAAGAAGAAGAAGAAGAAGAAGAAGAAGAAGAAGAAGAAGAAGAAGAAGAAGAAGAAGGAAGGAGGAGAAGGAGAGAAGAAGGAAGAAGGAAAAAGGGGGAAGAAGATGGGGGGCCGGAAAGGGGAGCAGGAAGAGAAAGGCCCAGTGGAGCTCCCCCCTCCCCTGCGCGGCCCTGGTGAATGCCGTGATACATCCCATGTATGTATTATCGCAACAAGCAGCAGGTGCCGCCCGACCCATCCCTTATGCAGGCCAGCCGGGGCGGCCGGGGCGGCCGGGCCGGGGCAGCCCACCGCGCCGGGATTTGGGGCGGACTATTGCAGGTCTAGCAGAGGCTCGGCGGGGCGGGCGGGGCGGATAGGAAGCCCGGCATAGAGAAGCCGTATGGTCCTGTGCTCCCGGCCCCACCGCGCCGCGCCCCGCCACCGAGAGCCGCGCTGAGCTCTGAGCCCGTGCGGTCCCGGGCTGCGCCGCTGTGCCAAGCCAGGCTGGCCCGGGCTGCGCGTCTTGGCTGCGCTGCGCGCTGCGCCGCCCTCTCTAACGATGCGGCCGGCCGCAAACGCCAAAACTTGGAACTTAACGGCGCCGCGCGGCCGCTCTGCAGCAAGGTGTGGCAGGCTGGGGTCGGGGCCTCGGTCGGGGCGGCACGGCCCACTGCAGGCGTCAGCCAGCCCGCAGCCAGCCCGCAAGCCAGCCAGCAAGCCAGCCAGCCAGGTAGTAGTGGGCAGAAACAACCAACAAGCCCCGCTCGATTTAGTTCCGGAGGTACTGCTCCACCCCACCCGGCGGGCTAGCCCGCGCGTCAGGCTCGCGTTTTCCAATAAAGGCGAAATAAGCGTCTGGGCAGCACCGCTTTAAAACAGTTTCAAACTACTTTGCACGTCCGGGACATGCAAATAGGGCGAGAGGGTCATGCTCGTTGTCGGGGACGGGGATGAATGCAAAGCCCTGGCGGCCCCGGCAGCCCTGCGGAACTCCGAACACCGCTCTCGTCGCTCCGTCTCTCTCGCGCTCCTGGGGGCTGGGCCGTCGGGGCCGTGGGGGTGCGAGAGAGACGGAGCGACGAAAGAACTGTTCGGAATCAGCCTGCAGGCGGCCCTGGCGCGAAACACGGGTAGTAAGCCCCATGGCTCCGCGCCAATGCATGCGTGTGTCCTACAGGGATAATGTCCTCACTCTGTAAATCACCAAATAAGGCGCCGGTTCTCTCACACATTCGCAGTGCCCCACTCTCCTTTCTCTCTCTCTCTCTCTCTCTCTCTCTCTCTCTCTCTCTCTCTCTCTCTCTCTCTTCTCACACACACACACACACACACACAGCGGTAACACTTATTCCCTCTCACGGCGACTGCCGCCCGCACTTCTCACTCTTTTTTCGGCCCCCTCCCTCCGCCCACAGCCCTCCGCACACACTTAAACTGCCATATTTCCTGCCGGACGGCATAATCTAATTTCAGTTAAACTCCCTAACAAGCGGGCCAATGAATAACCCTTTAGCGCTGGCGAAAAATAATGAGTCCCAAAGGCCGGGGGCGTGGCGGAGTGGCGGCGGTAGGCTCGTCGTCGTCGCGAGCAAAACGCGGCACGCTCTGCCTTCGTGGCGGGGACCGGCCTCTGATAGGGACTGTAGGTCACGGTTGTGGGGTCAAACGAAATCCACAGCACACTTGCAAACAAGAAGTCAAGCCAAATTAAATTTCAAAATTAAATCGACATTTAACTTTCAAAAATTATATTAAAAACATTCCTTTGAGATATGGTGCGTATTTCGCCTCGATGATACATCGCGCTCGGATAAACGCGCCGCGAACTAACGACGGTCGGTGGGTTCCCCTCGGCGGTGCGGATCGGGGCGGCACGCCGGCGCGTGGGCCTAACTGCAGCTGATTAAGCGCCCCGCCCATAAAAATATCGGCGAATTTGAACCGCGCATGCACATAGCGGGCCGCCAAATTTTTCTTCCTTTTCTGCCGCCTTTACGAGGCTGTTCCGCGCGCCGCGCTGCCGCCACGCTGCCGCCGCCACCCCAATCGAGGCAAGTACGTCGTAAAGCCCCCCGGCCGGGCAGGCCGGGCAGGACGGGCCGCCAGCGCGGGGCCCAAGCCAAGCCAAGCCCAGCGCGATCGGGGGCAATTAATTGGACGCGCGCGACCAGCAGGGTGAATCCGAACGGGCGTTCCGTCGCTCTGTCTCTCTCGCACTCCCGCGGCCCGCCCCGTGAGTGCGACAGAGACAGAGCGACCAAACTACCCTTCCAAGTGAGGCTGGAGCGAGGCAGTGAGGCACTACCTGCGAGGCGTCGCGACGTCCGAGCTGCTTTGAGTGTGGCCGCGGCGCGGTGGTGGTGGCGCCTATGGCGCTGTTAGG